AAGCAGTTGTCAGACAATTAGGGAGGAGTGCCGCCTCCTTACGCACACCACAGTCCTGCTGCAATTAAAAGGAAGTTTCCTCGGGTGTGTGTGTGAGAGAGAGAGAGAGAGAGAGAGAGAGAGAGAGAGAGAGAGAGAGACCAGCCCCTTTTAAAGCAGACTCTGTGAGAAGGCTTGCCTTTTTCTTGCTGGTCTGGACCCTGCATCTGTCTCATCGAACTCCCCTTCTTTGAGCGCGAGCCTGTGGACTGCCACATTGCCTGCCAACCCTAGGAGCTATCAGCACCTTCCGTCTTGTCTGTTAACCTGGATTCCTCCGCCTTTGCCTCCATCCACCTGTGATCTTCCTGTTTCTGGTTCACCTTCCTGCTTCTAGTGTGTGATCCCTGGGAGCTACGTGAATCAAGAAAAGTCTCCGCATTAACATCTGACCCAAGAACTTGGTTCACACTGGACTTACCTGCTTCTGTGTGAGCCCTTTTCTTGATATAGGTGTGTGTGTGTGTGTACATATATATATGTATATATATATGCATATATACTACTGGTTTTACTTCACTAGAGAACCCAGCATTAGACTGGGTGGATCACAACTAACTATGGAAAACACAGCACCCCAGAGCACTTCACTGTGCTCATGTGGAAAGTGTGTCCGTCCGTGTAGAAGGTCAAACAGAGCCTGAGGTAATGTGTGGTTTAAAACAAGGCAAGGTGTGTGCCAGGGTTGTGTCTTTTCTCCATGCTTACTCAATCCAGAGGCCGAGCAAATCGCCCGAGCAGCTGGCCGAGATGAAGAAGAATGTGGCATCAGGTTTGGAGGCAGATGCACGAACTACCTGTGATGTGCAGCGAACACAAGCTTGCTTGCTGAAAGCAAGGAGACCAAAGCCCTGACCGCTGGACCAGAGACTGCAGCCTTAAATACGGCTTCCACCTCAACCTACGGAAAGCAACAGCCTCACAAGGGAACCGATAAGCAGCATCATGATCAATGGAGAAAAGACTGACGTGGTCAAGGATTTTGTTTTAGGTGGACCCACTGTCACAAACGGCTGGGGCAGTTGGATTTTTGTGTCAACTTGAATTTGTGTGAATGTGGAAGGGGCGGAGTCTAACCTATCCATCAAGCCCGACGACACCTCCTTGGGGGTGTGGCCTTTTGTGTAAATGTGAGGGACACATGGAACTGCTCTCTTTGCCTCCCTGCTTACTGGGGCTCTTGCCTGCCTCCAGGGGTGGCCCCAGACGGCCACCGGATCCTGAGAGCTGTTGGTGCTCAGCCTCGTTTTCACTGTTTCACTTTTCTGCGTCAGCGGCCTGGAGCTGCGTGAGTCTGAAGAGGCCCGGCTAGCCTCGGCCCCATGGACTTGAGGTGCACTGGGCTGGGGCGCCTTCTGGACGGACAGTTGCTTCTTGATACAAAGTTCCTTCCTGTACACAGATGAGCACCCGATGTGTTTCTCTGACCACCATGCCCAGAGGAGCAGCAGTGTGCTCTGGGAAAGTCTGCTGGCAAAGATCTCTTCATACAGTGTGAGATGTCGTCAATAAATGTAGTCAATTCCTATGATCGCTGTTCAGTTAAGCGATCAGAGTTTAAAGTGTGTTTTCCACCCCCCTCCATTTCAATCCCTACATTTTCCATCACCTGATTTTCAAATAATTTTAAATTGCACTTGATCTTATTTTCATGTTTTCCTTTTGTCGTTCCTGGCGACCCCATGTGTTAAAAGTACAGCTGCCCCAGAGGGTTTTCCTGCCTGGGACCTTGACGGAAGCAGGTGATCAGTCCTTCGGATGGACGTGAACCACCCACCCCTAAGTCAGCAGCTGAGCCCAGGCTGTTTGGACCGTCTGCTGTTGCTGCTGCGCCGGAGTGTGGATTCCAGCATCCGGCATCCCTACTGGACAGAGCAGAGCTGCCTCCCACGTCCCCTGGCTGTCCTCTCTGCGGGAACAGGCCCATAGCTCTTTCTCCTCCAAAGCCTCTGGTGGGTTCCAACACCCAACTCTTCAACCCAAAGCAGCTGCATGCTTAGCCACTGAGACAACAGGGCTCCCATACCACCCAGAACCTTCAACACCAATGCACTTATCCTTAAAAACCAGCCACCCCCACCCCCCAATGACCCTCCATTCCAGGTGGCTCCTCTGGATCCATTTGGGGGCAGCCACCACCTCGGTTCCAGGTGCTCTTAACTTGAGCTTCCTGCAGGACCTCAGCCCTTTCCCGAAAGAAACTCTACGGGGATCCGCACCCCATTGCACATTGTAATTGCAAGTTTTATTTCGGTCATGACGTGTATTTACACTAATTATGCAGTTAGCTGTAATTGCACTAATTGTATAAATGCACAATAATTCATAGAGACAGACTGGAGAGAACAAAGGGGCATGGCCCCGGAAGCCTTCCCGTTGGGAAGGGTGGCTCACTGGCACACAGTAGGTGCTCAGCCCCTGCCAGGGGATTGAACTAGCTGTTTCCCTGGAGACTGGAGACAGGAGGCCTGGTGCTGCAGTCAGACAACTTGGTTTCCGCCGCCCAGCCTCAGGGAACCTTTAGATCTCCCGAGCATTTTGGACAAGCCAAGGGAAGAGAATCAGGTCTCTCCGGCTCAAAACCCTTCAGGAACTCCCTCACGGCCTAACTGGAATTTATAAAATCCCACCCCTCTCATGCCGTGGAGTTGATGGCAACTCACAGCAACCCGACAGGACAGGGTAGAACTTGCCCTTTGAATTTCTGAGACTGGAGCTTTTTACGGGAGAGGAAAGCCTCCTTTTTCTCCCATGGAGTTGCTGGTGGTTTCGAACTGCTGACTATGTAGTCCCATCCTAGCTAAGAAGGGGTGAAGATGGCCATCTGTCTCTCACCCCAGGTCTAGATGCTTTCCCTAGCTGCCAACGGATTCATCCTCGTTTCCAAGGGCTGAGTGTCTGGAGGGAGATCGCCAAGCCTTTCTGCTGAGGCACCTCTGGAGGTACTTGAGCCCCCAGCTCTTTCATCAGCAGCCGAGCACATTACTCATTTGTGTCACTCGGGCCCTTCCCAGCTGTGCTCACCACTGTCCTCAAAGTGCTCTCCGCCCGGCAGCCCACCCTCCGGACTACGGGTCCTGCAGAGCCTGGGCCCTCAGCAAGTACTCACTCCCCAGTCCTCCAGAGGCCAACCTGGCCATCCCTCCCCGGCCTACAGCTCTTCCCGTGCAGTTCTCCGAGGACACAGTGCTTTGTTAACCTGCCAGGGTCTTCTGGATGGAGCCCTGGTGGTGCAGTGATTATGTGTTGGGCTACCAACAGGAAGGTTGGAAGTTCAAAACCAGCAGCAACTCTGTGAGAGCAAGACGAGGCGGATTCCCATGAAGAGTCCCGGCCTTGGAAACCCACAGGGGCAGTTCTACCCTGTCCTAGAGGATCGCCGGGAGTCGCCATCAGCAGTGTGTCAGGAATTGGATGATCTTCTGAGGCTCTTTCCGTCTCTGAGGACAGAGGGAGCCTCTCCAGGGTGAAGCTGCCCGCACCCATCATGGCGGCCCCAGCCCTCAGCACAAGAGCCAAGGCAGCTGTGAAAAGCAGACGAACAAACGGATGGGTGGATGAACGCACCGGCAAGTGCATGCCTTCCTGTGATAATGACAACATTATCACGGCGAGGAGGGGCCCAGAGGGGCCTCTCAAGCCTGCTGGGGCGGGGAGGTCAGGGCAGACCCCTGGAGAAGACAGTGCAAGAACAGAGTCTTGGGGGGCGAGTAGGGATTCTGCAGTGAGAGAAGAAGGAGTCACATGGAAAGGGCAGTGTGAACCCAGGATCCACAGGGCTGACCAGGGCCTCGGGTGGCTGGGGAGGCAAGCAGCAAGCAGAGGACAGAGCTGCCCCTGGCTGTCGTCCACAGCCCAGCCTGGAATGAGACACTGCCCCTCTTGTCTGCACGCACACCAGAGCTTGCTGGCCAGGTCCTGCTGTTTCCCATCCCCAGCCTGCAGGGACCCGTGTGACTGGGTAAGGCTGTCCTACAGGGCACCCCAGGCTTTAGGGAGCTGACGTCAGTGTTAGGTACCACTGAGTCAGTTCTGACGGGTGGCAACCCTGTGTACAGCAGAATGAAACACCGCCCGGGGCTGGGCCAGCCTCACAATTGCTCTTATGTTTCGGTCCATTGTTGCAGCTGCTGTGCCAATCCATCTGGTGGTGGGTCTTCCTCCCTTCAATAAAGCACGACGTCCTTCTCCAGGGACTGGTCCAAGTACGTGAGAGGTAGTCTTGCCACCCTTGCCTCTAAGGAGCCTTCTGGCTGCACTTCTTCCAAGACAGATTGGTTGCTGTTGTTGCTTTTGGCAGAACAATGTACTTTCAATAGTTCTCTCCGGCACCACATGCAAATGCATGGATTCTTCTTCAGTGTTCAATTTTCATAAGCACACGAAGCCACTGAAATTACCACGGTGTGAGTCACGAGCACCGTAATCCTCAAAGTCACCGCCTTGCAGAATGCCAGGCCTTGTGCTTGGCAGTCCAGGGTTTCCCCATTGCACCACCAGGGCTAGCTACGAGGACAGGGCCATAAAACCCGTGCATCCCTCCTCCTTCTGGTGCTGTGTACAGTTTTCAGAAAGTTCTATGGGCAACGTTGAAGCTTCTGTATCTGCATACCAGCCTTGGGTGGCTGACTTCTACGGCCTTCAAGGCTCTGCCCTCTCCTCTCCTTTCCTCCTGGTGGAGGGCAGAGGCAAGAAGCAGCCCCTCCTCCACCGGGGGCCCCCAAGGTTGGCAGGGCCCATCACTGGGACCCCTAGGCACCAGAGCTTTGCAGATGCTATTGCATGGAGTCCCCCGAGCCGCCCTGGGAGAGAACTATGACACCCATTTTACAGGAGAGCAAGCGGAGGATTTGTGCAAGAAGGGATTCCACAGTGCCCATGGCAAATCCAGACAGATGGAGTGCGATTCTGTGCTCTAGCCATCACCCCACACTGCCACTCTGGGAACAAACGTGGGAGAGTCCCAGGCAGTCTGTGGGGACCATCTCCAGCCCCAGGCGAGCCAACTCCCATAGGGTTTATTGGTGACGTGCCCACCCGCACTCCCTGCACACTGCCGAGTTTTACAGTGGCAGTCCCACCAGCGGACTTGTTGGAGCAGGGCCAAGGCCCGCTGTTTCTAGACACCTGTTCCCCTCCTGACAGGCCCAACCCTCAGTTCCCAGGCTCAGCTCGGCCCGCAGGCCCCGTCCAGTCTTCCACTAAGGCCCTGCCCCTGGAGCAAGGTCCCACCCCACCCCAAGGCTCCGCCCTTGGGCACACAGATTCTTCCAAACCCAAACTCAAACTCCCTGCCATGGAGCTGATTGCAACGCATGGCGACCCTGTAAGGGCAGAGCAGAACTGCCCCCCATGGGCTTCTGAGGCTGCGGCTCTTTACCGGATTGGAGCGTCTCATCTTTCTCCCATAGAGCAGTTGGTGGGTTCGAACTGCTGATCTCGTGGTTAGCAAGCCACTAGGCCCCCACGGCTCCTTACAGGCCTTTTCCAGTTGGCGCCAGGGCCCTCGCTCTCTGGGCAAAGACCCCGCCCCTAGCACCAGGCTCTGTTCCTGCATACTGGGCCCTTCAAGTTCGGCCCGCGGGAGCCCTGGTGGCGTAGTGGTTACGGGCTGGGCAGCTAACTGCAGAGTCAGCAGTGCGAAAACACCAGCTGCGAGCGGACAAAGACGAGCATTTTGACTCCCCCGGAGCTGCAGGCTCGCAAATCCTGAGGCAGTTGGTTCTTTCCTGTGCGACTGGGTCGCTGTGAGTCGCAGGGACTTGCGAGAGTCCCAGGTGCAAAGCTCCGCCCCCCGCATAAGGCCCGCCCACAGGCCCCTCCCCTCCCTGCACTCAGGCCAGGGTCCTACCTCGGGGTTCTCCTGGCCCGCGGGGGGCCTGTCCTCCTCCTTTCTGGTGGCCTGAGCTCCCTGAGATGGTTCCTCCGTGGGCGGCCTCAGCTCCTCCGCGCTCTCGGGCTGCGTTTGCACTGGAGGCTGAATGATGATAACCTGGAAGAGGCTCTAAGTGAGGGGCTACAAGGAGGGCGGGAGCAGGGTGGGAGGTGCAGGTGGGGTGGGCGTCCCCTGACCAGTGGGGCTTGTTTACCAGGGCGGCCCCAGTGCAGCAAGGAGTGCTTCAGGACCCTGCGCACCCAACGACCCTTAACACAGTGGGCAGGGGCTGCATCGAGGGTCCCAGGGGTGATAAGAGCCTGCCTCGCCCTTGTCTCCCAGCTGTGCTGCATGGGCTCCCCCATGCAGCCTCTCTTAGCCTCCAATTCCTCAACACTCAGCTCGGGGCAGGGGGGGGGGGTACCAGAGAGGCTGTCCTGCTGACCCCCAGCTCAAAAACTGAAGCTGAGAGCTCTGACTGCTCCTGCCTGGGGTCTTCAAGTTAGAAAGTGAGGGTGGGGCTGGCTCTATACAAGGGCCAGCAGTGCTCCGCCCTGCCCTCCCCCACTGACCCCCCAACCAGTGTCTGCACCCTCACCTCAAAGCGGAGGAATACTGATTCCTCACAGCCACACTGCCTGCAGGTGCCCGGCAAGTGCTAGGGTGTGGTGGGGGTGGGGTGAGTGGGCTCACCGGAGGGCTTCAGAGGGGTCCAGGGTAACATTTTTTAATCAAAGGTCCGTAGGCCAAACAGAAGCACGAAGCCGTGGGATGCCTTCAGCCCTTCCCCGAGTGCACCCTCATCCCCCTCACGTGACTCCACTTCCCTCTCTTTGTTCAGGTTTGGGCAGGGAATGGGGAAACCGAGTGTGCCAGGGGCTGCCAGCCGGAGGCTGCCCGCAGTGGGCAACACATGGCCTGGCATGCACCTCCCATCCTGGGGGGAATGTGTGGTGACTGCTTTATGACTTTCAGGCACCGTTTTCAGGCTGGCTTCTTGGGGGGGCCCCTTAGACTTCTCAGACCGGGACCCAAAGTGACCCTTCTTTATCTTCAGGGAGGAAACGCCAATTAATTAACGTCCCCAACTAGGGAAAAAAAAAAGCACAGAGCATTCTCAAACCAGTCCCTCACAGGGGGACAGGCTGCTTTCAAAAGTGGGGGAGAATGTTCACACTTAGCAATAACGGGGGCGTCGGCAAGCCGGTGAAGGCACAAAATTGGGACGTCCAGGTCCGAAGGCCTGGCCATACTGGGTCAGCGAACATGGGCAAGCCCCGCCCTCTGACGCTGGCGCTGTCCCCCGCATCAG